TATAGACAACTGATTTTCTACAAAGATGCCAAGGCAATTCTGCGGAGAACAGATATTATTCAATAATTGGTGCTGGAGCAAGAGGATACCCAAATGCAAAGAATGTATGAGGTCCACAGCTTTTACCTTATGCACAAACTAAAAAAAAAGAGAACCATATACCTAAATGTAAAGTCTAAAACCATAGAGCTCTAAAGAAAAAAATTTCCTAGATAGGACAACGAAAGCATAACCCATCAAACAAACAAAAAATAAGTTGTACTTCATTAGCATTATTAGTTCTACTTTTTGGTTTTTTTAAAATATATTTTTATCTTTATTGTTGAAAGTATTACAGATGTCCCCTTCCCCCCCCCACACTAATCTCTTTTAGCTGGCACCTGCCCCCCAATCCCAGGCCCTTACCACACTATTGTCCTACTGAAGGACACTATTAAGGACATAAGACAAGCCACAGACTAGGAGAATAGAGTTGCAAATTGTAAATCTCATAAAGAACTTATATCTGGAATCTAGAAAGTATATTTAAAACTAATAATAAGAAAACAACCTAATAAAATGAGCAAAAGATTTGAACAAACACTTCACTAAAATATACATATGGTAAATAAGCACATGAAAAGATGCTCAGAATTTTTAGTTATTAGAGAAATGCAAATTAACATCATATCACTATACAGTGGGGCCTTGACTTACGAGTGTCCAGACTAACGAGTTTTTTGAGATACTAGCTGTCTCTTGGCCAATTTTTTGCATTGAGTTGATAGAGTAATTTGAGTTAACGAGCTTCTTAATGAGCTCGGTCTCGGAATGAATTAAACTCGTAAGTCAAGGCCCCACTGTATATGCATTAGAATGACCAAAACTGAAAAGAATGGCCATATCAAGGACTGGTGAGGGCATGGAGGACCTGGAATTGCTGGTGGATATGAAAACTATGGAAACATTTTAGAAGACAGTTTGGCATTTTGTTAAAAAGTTAAACACACATGCCGAACCGGTTTGGCTCAGTGGATAGAGCGTCAGCCTGCGGACTTAGGGGTCCCGGGTTCAATTCCGGTCAAGGGCATGTGCCTTGGTTGTGGGCGCATCCACAGTGGGGGTGCGTGCAGGGAGCAGCTGGTTGATGTTTCTCTCTCGTTGATGTTTCTAACTCTCTATCCCTCTCCCTTCCTTTATGTGAAAAACCAATAAAATATATTTTAAAAAAGTTAAACACACACCTACCATTTTCCAGCCATTCCACTCCTAGATAGAAATGAAAGCATACAGAGTGGAGCAAAAGTGGGTTTACTGTTGTGAGTACATACCACACAGATTTTATGCTTGTATTATTATTTATTAATTATTGCATTATTTTCCATGCAAACAACTGTAAATCTACTTTTGCCCCACCCTGACTATACATAGAGACTTGTCCACAAATATTCACAGAAGCTTTATTTGTAATAGTCAAAACTAAGAAACAACCTAAAATTCCATCAACAAGTGAATGGACAAACAACATATGTTTTAGGCATACAATGGAATACTGCTCAGAAATATAAATGAATGAACTATTGATAAGTGCAACAATAAGAATGAATCTCAGATTAACTATGCTTAGTGAATGAAGCCAGACAATAAAATAGCATGTGCTGCCCTAACCGGTTTGGCTCAGTGGAGAGTGTCGACCTGCAGACTCAAGAGTAGCAGGTTCGATTCTGGTCAAGGGCATGTACCTTGGTTGCAGGCACGTGCCCAGTGGGGAGTGTGCAGGAGGCAGCTGATCGGTGTTTCTCTTTCATCGATGTTTCTGGCTCTCTATCCTTCTCCCTTCCTCTCGGTAAAAAATCAATAAAATATATTTTAAAGAAAGGTAGCATGTGCTATATACTTCTATTTATATAAAACTCCAGAAAATTCAAACTAATCTATACTAATAGAAAAAGACCACTGGTTGTCAGGGGAAGGAGGAAAGGGAGGAGAAGGAGGGACTACTGAGGGTGAGAGGACATTTGGTGGGTCACTGATATGCTTGTATGTCAGTGACATGCATTTATTCATAGAACAAAACCCAAATTGCCCACTTTACATGCAGTTTATTGCTTGTTAGTTATTATCTCAATAAAGCTATTAAAACTATCACCAAACTCAATTCTGTTTACCTGCCTTTTTCACAGCCCCAAATTATCCTTAATTAAACTTTGCTTTCTGTTGCCTAATAGCTCTCAGCGAATTACTTTTTGTTTGAAATTCTAGAAAAGAATGACCCAGTTCACAAAAGCCTTAAGGATGTTGCCAGTGCTGCCTAATTATTAAGACTATTTCTATAGTTTAGTTTTTATGTTTCATTATTTTCATATCAGGCTAAGCAATGAATATAAATCAATCACTTTTAAATTATGGTGGGAATATATCTTTCCAGGAGCTTAAGAGTCACTAACTTAAACCAACTATACCAACTATGTGCCTGGAAGACAAGACACTTTCTACATATTTGTTTAATTTACTCACTTATTCAAAAAAGGGATAATTATTGAATCTCCAGTATATTCAATGTGATGATTGAGTGCCTACTACATACTAGGCACTGTGCTTAATACTTAGTCCTTAATAAAAATTCTTTCATACAGATATTTATTATTATCAATTTGCAGATTAGCAAAGTGAGGAACAGAGATGTTAAATACTTGCCTGATTTTACTTATTTAGGATGCAAAAAAATTTTAGAAAAGTAATTTTTTTCCTATACAAATATAAAATTAAAAATTCCTTCCTCCTAGTCATTGACAGGTATTTCTCTGGTTCGGGGGAAAAGAGCACATGACAGAAACACACATGGGCATGGGCATGGGCATACACACACACACACACACAGTTTTTGAAAGACCTTTGCAATATTTTTTTTTAGTTCTGTCACTTCACTCCCAGGCATATTTCATTCATTTTACACTGTAGTTTCAAGGTTGTTATAGCTTCAAACTCTGTCTTGTGAGGTGAGGTGCCCAAGAATATAAAGGAGATTGGTTAGCAAATGTCAATAATGTACTTCAAAGGGGCTGGGATATATAAATTGAAAGTTGTTATTCTTCCTGTAATAGAAGAATTGGTTGAAATGTTGAATTTCCTCTAATGAAAATGTTGAACTCCTTTCATTGGTAAAATGGGTTACTGCCAAAGAAGTCTAAACAACCAGTGGTTTGGTGGATGGTAAGGGTTTCTGCAATAACACCTGAACAGCGGGAGGTGCAGGTAGTTTTCAAAGTAAAATAGGACTGGAAGCAAAGGGTCGTGCACCTTGCAGTAAGGTGAGATATCGGTTCTGCCCCATGGGCTGTTCAAAGAGGCACAGCAGATGTAAAGAAGGGGAAGCTGGAATGGAGCCACATAACACATGCCTTCATTTCATTCATGGAGCACAGAGCAGATGGCCCCTTACTTTGATGAATGATCAGAAGGGAAGCCCATGGATTCATAGAGAATAGGAGCATACAAAAGGCTTTTAGGGACCATGTGTCCAGGAGAGCTCCAGATGGGGTGCTTAGCTCCCTCTTCTTACTCTCAGATCAAAATCCAGCATAAAATCCTAAGGACTGGCCACAGACAGTATCAAATGATAGATGGTATGGAATGAATGCCCTCCTCTTCATCAAGCTTCCATTCTTTTTGCTCTCTTTGTCCCAAATATTTCTTCTCTCCAAAAATTCTTGCTTTCTGTACAATCTGAACCCAGCTGTCCTTCAGAACTCTGCTCAATTCCACATCTCTAGTTTTCTTAGCCCACAGTGATAGTTTCCTCTCAATTCCCAAATTACTCAGTTTGTATTAGCGATTGTTTCTTTAATGAATAATACATGTAGCATATTATGTTCTTACTAGTATTTATAGATAAACTTCTGGTTTTAAGTAACTTGAGGTCTAAAGCCATTTTTTTTAATTCATTAAACTTCTGCTGAGCACAGTGCCTAGACTATAGCAGATGTTACTATATTCTTTGTGTCAATCAAGGTCGTAATATAGATTCCTTGGCACTTTTTGTATATATATAAAAAAAAATCAGATCTTTAGCTCCTGACAACAGACTGAAATTGAGGAACACTGCCCTCTGAGAAAAGCCATATGGAGAGCCTGGGCTATTGGAAATGATGACAATCTATATGTCAGGTATTTAATGTACAATTGGCAAGGACCCATACAAATAAGAGAGCATCTTTGGATGAGATGCTGAAAATAAATAGCCACAAATTGGGGGCAACTGGCAGTTGTTGGCCCTCCTATTACTCTTGATAATGTTCTTTTGTTCATTAAGACTTTTTGGGTTGCAAGTGACAGAAATCAACTCTAACTGGTTTGTGCAATAGGAGAAGTCCTTCATTCACAAAGTCTGGAGCATACTTAAGTCAGAGAACTGACAGAGAGCCTGAGGGTCTTTAACCAGAACCAAAGTCACAGATTCCTCTGTCTCCACTTGACTTTATTCAGCAAGCATATCCTCTCCATATATCTATTAGCAACCCCAGATAAACACCATCCAGTCTTGGAAACCTCAGGGAATAGATTAGTCCCAGGGAAAGATTAAGACTGACATTTCTCAGACCACGTGCCCCCCTGCGAGACAATCACAGTAACCAGTGAGATGTAGACCTGGAATACCACCTGTTAACCCTGTGGCCAGGGGACAATGTTTGTTACAGGAGAGGAGAAACAGAAAGCTTATTTTTCCAACAAAAATAATAACCTTTCACAGGCTGGTATAGGTGTGGCATTTATCAACATGTCTTTACCACACTGCCCTCCTTCCAGCTAGGCTGGGGACAGTGGATTGCTCACTTCCAGATGTCACTGACGTTTTGAGGGATATCCAATTTCCCAAGATGCTGTGAGCAAAGTGAATCTCTCGGTCACCTAGGAGCCTCTAGAATACAAGTCTATTAAGGAAGAAGATTATGTAATTCTGTTAGTGATGCCTGACAACAGTGGTTATGAGGATGGTTCCAGAAAGAAATATATGTCCTTACCTTGAAGCTGCTGGAAGTCCTATAGAGCTGACACACAGGTCACATGAAGAGTATAGTAAGGGAACAAGTGTCATGGAGGCATCGTTCCTTTTGAACTGTTACGCTGATGACATATCTGCGGAAGAATGTATAAAGATAAGTGAAAAGCAGTCTTATTTTTCTTAGTTCTCATTCCCTGAAAAAATGTTTTTGCCACCATCACATTCAAAACAGCGATTTTCAACCACTGTGCAGCAAGAATTTCTAAAACATGCAATACGTGACTATTTAGTCAGGGGCACTGACTTCTTTCCCCTTAGATTATCAAATAAAAAAAATGACAACAGCCAACACAACAATAGTTACCAGGTGTAAATGAATCAATTTTTTACCTTTTTTTTTGTCAGATCACCAAAAAATTATATTCTTTGGTGAGCTGAATTTTAGTAATTTGTTTATGTATACCTTGAGATGAAAAAGGTTGGAAATTGCTGCGTTAAAAGAGAGCAAAAATTCTAGAGCAAGTATAAATTGCTTCAAACAAATTAAGATTGTTCTGTTTGTAAAATTTATTTTTGCAAAGATTAAAAAACCATGCCAAACTGATTGAAGACCCCTGTTGAGAACATTAAAACATTTATTGTGCAGCACTGTAATTTGTATCTGAAAAAATAAGCATCTGAGCATGTTCATTTCTAAGCATATACAACTGTCACAGAAGAAACAATTAAGAAATTGTTTTGCATTCCACTGGAGGCTCACTTCTGTTTTAGAGAGGTACCCGAGCTATGGGGTATAGCCCCTCCATTGGCTGTTACTCTGCTTCTTGGCTTCTTAAATAGAAACCTCTAGCTCAAACTAAATCATCCCATCTTTAACCATGCTGTAAGCAAAAGTTTGTCAGCTGAGATAGTTTCCTAGCTGTTACACACATGTTCAAGCCAAAAAGAAAAAATGAATTGTTATGATTCATTCTTATCTGAATGGGTCTCCAAAGAAAAGATTACTCTGAGCTTCTGCTTTCCTGCTTTGGGGCCTCCTTCCAGAGACTTATCTTCCTGACCCCCTTTATTCTCAGAGCAACGCAGAGCTTCCCAAGGTTTCTATTCAGAGGTTTCAACTTGGTTAGTTTCTAAGAAAGTTTACAGTCTACCCAGCACCTGAATCTTTTCCCTCTGTGTCTGTGCACTGTGAGGCAGATGTAGTGTTAAATCACTACCCCATTTATCAAACAAGGACCCATCCTTGGGACTGCGTGGTGCTCTAAATCACAAAGACAGGCCTCATCTAAATGGCCACATTTTTGTTAGTCAAGATTAATGAAAGAAATGAATGATTTAAGAAAAGTACTCATATCTAACAGCCTCAAGGTTCAGAAGTAATGACTGAAAGCTAATTATAGAAAGACTGAAAGGGGTTATAACCCTTAGGATTTGATTTTTTAAAATATATTTTTTACAGAGAGGAAGGGAGAAGGAGAGGGATAGAGAGTTAGAAACATCTATAAGAGACAAACATTGATCAGCTGCCTCCTACACACTCCCTACTGGGGATGTGCCCTCAACCAAGGTACATGCCCTTGACCGGAATTGAACCTGGGACCCTTCAGTCCGCAGGCCGACGCTCTATCCATTGAGCAAAACCGGTTAGGGCCAATTTTTTTAAAAAATCCTAAAATTCCATGGAGTGTTCTCCAAATTATTAAAAAATCCCTTTTAAGGAAGTGAAACTCAATGAGCTATTCCTGTACTCCTTTCTCATTCCTTCACTGGAAAAAAAAATGTATTTTTTTCATTATGTGAATAAAACTCCCTCTGGAGTATTTTCTCCCTCCCTTTATTGAAATACAAAAGAATCGTCAATGTACATCTTCATCAATATTCTCAAAGTAAACATGGTCATGTAATGAGGAACCAGATCAAAACGAGAAATTATCCCAACCCTTAAAAACCCCTCGTGCTTCTTTCCAGTAAGTATACTCTCTACCCTGGGAAACAACATTCTGCATTCTATCATATGTATTTTGGTCCTTTTTGGAAATGTATATCCCTGTCCAATATATATTCTTTGTGTCTTTCTTCTTTCACTCAACATAATGTTGAATGAGATTAACCCACGTTGATTCATGTAACTATAGTTTGATTATTGTCATTGCTCTTTAGTCCTTTTTACATACATAGAACACAATCTATTTGTCCATTCTGTTATTGATGGACATTTGTTTTTGTTTTTTTTCAGATTTGGCTTGACTATACAGTTCTACTATATTTCTTCCTGCATCCTCATGCCTCTACCAGGATCATTTCTCTTCTGCATGAAGAACCCCCATTACAATTACCTTTCATGAAGTTCTGCTGATGATGAAGAATCTCAGTATTTAAATGTCTTTATTTAACCTGAACTTTGAAAGACAATATTACTAGATACAGAATTTGAGGTAGGAAATTCTTTTCTTTCAGCTATTTGAATATGATTTCCATTATTTACCAGATTCCATAATTTTAACTGAGAAGCCAGCTGCTTTCTTACAGTTTCTTTGAAATCAAGGTCTTTTTTAACTGACTTTTAAAAATATATATATTTTATTGATTTTTTTACAGAGAGGAAAGGAGAGGGATAGAGAGTTAGAAACATCGATGAGAGAGAAACATCGATCAGCTGCCTCCTGCACACTCCCTACTGGGTATGTGCCCGCAACCAAGGCACATGCCCTTGACCGGAATTGAACCTGGGACCCTTCAGTCCTCAGGCTGACGCTCTATCCACTGAGCCAAACTGGTTAGGGCCTTTTTAACTGACTTTAAGATTTTTCTCCTTCTCTTTGGCTTTCAGTAGCTTTATTATAATTTTCCTTCGTGTAATTTTCTTTATATTTTCCTACTTGGCATTCATAACACTTCTTAAATCTATGGCTGGATGTTTTTCAGCAGTTTTGAAAAATTATCAGCCATTCTCTCTTCAAATATTGCATCTGCCCTATTCTCTCTCCTAGAATTGCACTTTCACGTGTCCTATGTCTGTTATCTCGGTACTTTCCTTTGTCTTGCTATATTTTATTCTGGATAATTTTTACTGATTTACCTTCCAATTCACTAATTACCTCTTGGCTATGTCTAATCTGCTATTAAACCCATCTACTGATTTTTAAAAATTAATCATTGTATTTTTTTATTCTAGAATTCCAATTCAATTATTTTTTCAGATTCACTTTCTGCTGGAACTTTTTACCTTGTCCTACACTTTCTTGAAATTATTCATCATAGCTATTTAAAAGCCCATGTCTGGTAACTCTAATAAATGTTTTCTACAGGTCTCTTTCATCCCCCCTCCCCACCCCGAGTGTTTTTTCACTTCACTTTTGATCCTTTGGTCTTGCCTAATGGAAAGGCTGATAATATTTTATTAAATTCTAGTGTTAAGAATATTTTAAAACAGTTTTAAGTTTTTGTTGATGTTACCTTCCTGAACCAGGCATTTACTTTGCTTTGTAGGTCACTTTATTCTAATTTGTGGGACGAAACTGACTTTAGAGTTTGTTTCAGTCTCTGTAGGGGCTGATTCTATTCATTCTTATTCCTAAATTGTAATCCTTTAGGGGGGTCCCAAACGAATGACTTGATTATTTAGCAGATCCTTAATACTACCTTCAAACTCCAATTCTAAATTTTGTTCCTTCAATTTCATAAAACTGCTAAAAGCTGCCCTCAGTTTCTCAATTTCTTGGCTCCTTTTAAAATGGGAAATAGCTCGATGGGAAAAGCAGCTCCAAATGTTAGGCTCATCTCTTTGTTCTGTTATTTTGAAGTTATTGGTGCCTTTCGCTGCTCCAATGCCATCACAATTATTTTTTTAATTTATCCAGATGTTAAGTTGCTATTGTAGGAGTGTTGGTCAGGTAGAAGCTATTCAGTCATAGCTGGAAGGGAAAGTTAATCCTCCTCTAGAGATTATCATCTTAACATTGATCATATCTAGACTGACCTGAGCAATTTCTGAGTGTTTAACTTATTAACACTAAGGAATGACAAGGTTCAAATTAATACTTAGAAATAATACTTTAAAAAGTCTTTTAAAAACAATACTAAATATGAGTTCTTATTCAGACTGCTAATGGGCACTTACTTTTAAATTTAAACTCTTTGCATATCTCACTCTTAAATAATGCAATGATAAACATCTATGGATATGTACTTTTATGTCATGATGTCCTGAGTAAACTTCTAAAAGCATAATTTCTTGGTCAAAGTTATGGACATTTTTAAAGCTCTGCCACATTTTGGCGTATTGTCTCTAGGAAGATTTGGCTATTATGTGGTAATAATTAAACTTAACTTTCTGTGTATCTAAAACTCTGTATTTTTTTAATTTTAGAAGACAGAGGAAAATATTTTTATCCTGGAAAATATTTTTCCCTACCCATCCAGCTATAAATTTTTATAACGGAAATTCTTATTTTATTCTTCACACACAGCAAAAGATCTCTTTGAGCATTATTCAAAATATATCAAATTTCATCCATAAAAGGCCATTTGTTCCTGGCAACATGTTTGAGTTTATAATATCAAAGAGGGGGTTCCCCTGAAATTCACGTTATAACCTTAAATGCTTCAATCATTGCTGAAGTACAGATCTTGTGAGCAAAGAATTTTACACATAGTTTGACATTTCCAACATATTTGGGTGATATGACAGTGTTCATGCTCTTCTGTTGCCACCCACTGGAAAGCTCCATTGGAGATGTTTAATACGGGTCAATATATGGCTTGGTTCAATTCACATGCAGTAGAAAAAACTTGGGTTCTGCATTTTGGAATGACAGGATCAAACATCGTGTGGCTACCTCTTTAAAAGCTACAAGAATAGGGGGTGGCCTAAGGCACCTCAACCAGGGAGGCTGACTTCAAATTACCAGACACATCTATTATGAAGTGCTGAAAGGGGAAAGAAAAACAAATAATAAAGTTACAAAACAAAGTTTATTTTATCAAAATTAAAACTGCTTCCTTCTCTGCACTTAAGAGTAACCTTGAGATGGAATGGGCTGAGGGTTACATTGCTATAATCCCTCAGCAGTTAGTTCCACAGCAGGGGGTGCTGCTATAGACAAAATTATAGGGTTAGGAATGTTCACAATTCAGTGACCTGATTGGCTGACTATTCCTCAGGGCTCTTGAATCAAATATTTATACATCTAAATGGGAGCAAAGAAAGGAAAATGGTTCATAAAGAGAGTCCCAGAGCATGTATTATTGAAATAACAGATGGAATATTATATTTTTGAAACATTCTTTCTATAAAGAAGTCTTTTGAAGTGTGTTTTGGTAGGATAAGCTGAGCCAAGAGTGTTGGAGAGAGACAGAAAAAAAAATGGTTTTATTTTCAAATGGTTGGTGTCAGCAGTGTACAAAGTTAGCACTTCCCCAAAACGGCACGTCTCAAATGCACTGCGGGGCAACGTGCTTGCAAAGTCTCTGCTTTACATGGACGTCCCAGGGGAGGAATCATTCAGAAAACACTTGCTTGTCACTGCTCACTTTGTGCCTAGAGTCTCCCAGACCTTGACCTCTGAAATCTTTGCTGAGGGGGTATGGCCCCTCCCTACTGATTTTTCATGTTTCCTAAACTGATTGAAACCTAAGCTAACATTCAGGGCCATTGTCTCATAAGAGCCATGTATTAGCTGAGATTTTGGTAACAAGCAGATTAAGATTTTGGATTTTATGCCATATGGGCAATATTGCTGGATCATCTAGTCAAGGCTTAAGAATAAAAATGGAAGCATGCAATATAAGGCAAAGAGCAGGAAAGCCAGGCAGAAGGCCAAATGAAAAATGTATCCCATTTGCTTTTTTTCCCTCTACGTGGAAGCCTGAATCCATGACAGAATCAATAGTTCAGAATGATTCTGTTGTCTTTCCAGGAAAAATACCCCATTACTAAGCAATCAGTTAAAGTGCTCCATGGCCAGTCCAACTTCTCCATCATTTAGCTCTCGGGACATGGTTCAGGACATGCTAGTCTCATCTGTGGACTGGATGTGCTATATAATGATGAGATTTATGCATGACAACTGGCAGTTACTCTGGCCAAGGAAAGAGAGAAATCACAGGAACATAGTTATTCTGACTTTGTATCCAGACATGATCTCTATCCACGATGGGGATCTGAATGTAATTCCTGGTTGAGCTATTGTTCTGAGGAACAAAAGGAAGAGTATCCTGGGGAGAAGGGGTAATGCTTATGATGTAATAAATAAAGGAAGTTCATTCCTGTTGAAGCCCAAGCTATTGATATTTGCTGATGGGGTGATCCAGGTATTGATGAGAGTTTTAGGATTGGACTTTTTTGTCCAGGTCCTGAACATCAAACAATAGCCAGCTGGCAAAGGGTAAAAAGCCAGTGACCTAGGGCTCCTGAAAAATCAGAGTGTACAACCAGATAGCAACCTCTGCCAAAAGAAAGGGGCTGTAAGAGAAAAAGAGAAAGCAACTCATTTCCACCCACCTGTGGGGCCACGTCAGAGCAAAGTAAGAAAATGCTGGGGCAATGGCTCCTTGGGCGATAGCATCTGCTCAGGGAGTTGACTCAGAAAGCATCAGAGGCTCAGGGCTCCAGCCGGCAGCAGAAAGGACTCTTGGCAGAGCTGCTTCCTGCACCTCTTTTGATCATCGGGCTCAGGCTTGGAAAGGTTTTCACCAGTCTTGTGGTTTCCTGGTCGTGCGTCAATACATTCTGGCTGAAATACTTCACTTCCTTCGGGCCAGCCCCTCCACCAATGGCTCCTGGCTCCCTGGTTCACTCTCTCCAGCTTTGAACTAGACTCCAAGGACACTGCTGGCTGCAGCAAGAACCTTGAATGAGAGGCCTACAGCTGGATGCGAGCCCTCCCCTCTTTGCCACGGGGATCCTAAGTGGGGAAAAAATAGGTTTAATGGAACCAAAAGTCCACTGAAGCATCGAAACGTAGAATATTACATGTGGTTCCCACACAATTTCTTTTAAAAGACAGTCTGCAATAGAATCACCTGGACAACTGGTTAAATTATAGAAGTTCCCAGACCTTCTAAACCAGAATCTCTAAGTGGCTACTGGGAGTCAGTGTTTTCAAGAATCCCCTTCACAATCCTGACACACAGTCACTGCCTAGTATAATAGATCCAATTTCATAAATTAGGAAACTCAGGCCCAGAAAAACAGGCCCTAACCACGGAATGTTCCTGTGTGCTTCGACCCCATGGATCTCTCTAAACAGGACGCATTCTGCTACATGGGATCCTTTTTAAATTCTACCACTCTCAACTCAGGTAGTATTAGAGAAAAATGTGTAAATTCAGAACAGCTTTCAGTAAAGATAGTGCTTTTGTTCATTTGTTTTTGGTGAGGACTCTGGCAGTTCAGACAACTCACGTATATGAAAAAGGAATTTCTCAGACACGTTAGTGAGTAATAATTACATACAGTCATTTAAAAATTTCAGGGTTAGCTAGAACAAGGTTTCTGATGGATTATGTGGGGGGAGTGGTGTGGTGTCAGAAGGATTGAAAAGAAGACCAAAGAATGCCCCAATGAAAATGGATTAATTGTCCTCTTGAACTGAATGGCATTAGAAACACTAGATTCTGCAAAGGATCAGAACCATCACAAGCTGAAAATAGCACCAGGAATACTATATGCTTTTATCATCCGTGTTTTATAGACCAGAGTTTAGATTGTGCAAAAGCATAATCCCATGTGATTAAGTACTTAGTGGTAAATGCATGGAAGAAATTTTTTTTTTAGTAGAATAAAATTGTGGTTGCTAATACAACTTTTGGAATAAGATATACTATATGAATCAAAACCCCAGCTCTACTATGACTAGCTGTGTGGCCTTGAAGAAGTTACTTAACTTGAGTTTTAATTTCCTCATCTATAAAATGAAGCCTGATAAGGGCTTTTCGGAATATTAAAGCATGGCGGGGAGGAGGGAATTGGGGAAGCGGTGCTGAGGTTATTGAAGAAAACAAAAGGCAAAGAGAAAAATGCAGATGAACTAAGATGACCAAAGGAGAAGACATCTAGACTAATAAAACTAAAAGAGAAACACACTAAAAATATTTGTATGGTAATTAATCTAAATTCTCAAGCTAAGTTTTGTCACCCATCCCCAGAGTCCAGTGCCCATAGACAAACTCTACCTAACCCTAGGAGAATGTATAGACTGTGAACATGGCTAGAATATATGCATTGGATCAGCTTCATAAAATTAAGGATTGATTTTTATGTGGTTTTTTTTTCACTCTCATGACCAGAGTTTAGTTGTGAAATTAATGAATGCATTTGGTGGGATTAAATAAGTGCCCAAAGCCTTGATATTTCAATAGGGGAGGAGGCTGGTGAATACATAACGAATATAGAAATACCTCTGTGTCTTCTGGATGATGGCTCTACTGTGTGCAACTATGATTTTGAAAGCCATGATAACCAAGAGATGAGGAAAGTTTCCCTTCAACTCTACATTGAAACCAATGTACCTGGAGAACAATTGCCTAGGAAGAAGTTCTGATATTAGCAACACATTGCCAAATAAATAGAAGGTGATACTGTTAGTATCTCAAATTAGATGAAGTCAAGAAAACCAAAAGTTTGCCCTGAATGTTTTTAAAAATATTGCTACAATGTAATAGTCTTGCTGGATAGGTATTAAAAATAGACAGAACTTTAATAAAATCCTCCTTGTATTATTAGAGTTAAAGTTTAAAGCCATTAAATTTTTAAAAGGAAGTAAGGATGCAGGGGGTAAGGAGGGAGGAAAGGAGGAAAGAAGAGAGAAAGGAGAGAAAAGGGAGAAATAATGGAAGGAAGGAAGGGATGCAAGGAGGGAGACAGGGAAGGAAGTAAAATCAACAAAAAGAGCATAGGATCATATACTTAAACCAAATTGTAAGTTAGCTGAAATCTGAATTATTTTCTCTTAAAATATCCTTAGTAAAACAAGTCAAGTTAGGGGCTATAAAATGAGTCAAACTGTCACAAAGAACAAAAGTAGTTCCCACTTCACAGCTCTCTGCTGTGTACCCAGAGCCTTGATCAGTGAGAGTGGCACGCATGTTGGTTATGAGCTTAAGCTTGGGGTCATATTGGGTCTAATTCTGTGATTTCAAACAAGCCATCTATCCTGACTGAGCTTGTTATTTTTATTTTTCTGCAAAAGGAAGTTAAGATTACACACCTCACAGGAGTTTTGTAAAGTTTGATCCAGAATCTGGTACACTCTTAGGCTCAACAAATGATGACTACCATTTTTATCATCATCATCATTAATATTATTGAGATACTGAAATATCTGAGATTTGTGATTTAAAAACATGCTGTATGACTTGTTCTGAAAAATGGAGCTGGGTAATGTATTCATTGCTAGACGCCCTGAGGAAAAAAGATCTGAACACTATTCCCCTGCAGCAGTTGGGATGGTTATAGTTAGCTTTTATATAGCCTTATGCTTCACAAACTGCATGCAACTTTTGCTATCCTTTGCAATCAACCTTCTGGTTACACAGAATAAATTTTACCTTTTGCTGATGGAGCAACGAGAGCAAAGAAAAATAAAATACTTGGCCTTGGATCATAAGATGAGCTGTAATTATCGTAATTCCCCAAATCCCAGTCCCGGGTTCAGCCAAACAAACTAGGGTTTCCATGAGGTTTAACAGTGAGTCAACCCTGGAGACATTTGGGACAATTTTAAATCCAAGAATACTTTGTGTTTCTTATTTTATAAAAAAAGAGTGAACTGAAACTGAGGAATAGGGAATGCAAGGCAGTGTTGTGAAGGAATTAAGGAGTTTTTAGGTTCTGCTGTAAAAACAAAGTTGATTTGATTCATGAGCTATAGGAAGATTATTCTGCCAACAGAGAACTAAAGAGTGAGGTCAGTTTCAGAGAAAAATGATTAACATAGTCTGTGTGGTTACTAAGGTGGTTGCATGGAGACCTAAAATTTTTTAAATAAAATAAGAAATGCTGAATCCAGTTCTGAGAGGTCATAGAATAGACTAGAAAGAACATAGAGTAAGAATAAAGAGCCCTGGCTCTGTCCATTAGTAATTAAACTGCTTTATGGAAATCACATAAATTTTTAAAGTGAAGATCTCTAATTTAACCCTACAGAATGGTTACACAGACATAATAAAAGTGTCTTTTTAAAGAGTGTTTTAAAAACCTCTTCCACTCAAAAAAATACCTGTTAAAAATGTAGCCCTAAGTCTCATTCTTTTCTTGCCCACAAATAGATATTTATTAATCACTAGGTATTAGATATTATAATGGATTCAAAGACCTACCTACAAAACATGGATTTGATGCTTGGAAAATTGAGTTAGAGAGTAAAACATGAAAGGACAGAATTATATGAAAATAAATCAAGACATAACTTGATAAATTACTGAAAGATTTCTACAGAAGATTGCGATAGAAATCCATTCATATTGATGAGAAACTGCTGAAAGCTGGCACAGTTATTAAGGAAAGCAAAATAAAAGGAGGTTGGACTTGATATCAGACATGAAGGATGTAAATTGTTAAAATGGAAATGAGGAGGCCTTTATATTATACTGAAGAGTTAGAAGTTTACGGACACTGGAGAGTATCTAAAAACGTTTTCATGGAAATGAATCTTTAGGAAGACTGATTCAGCAAATATAGTTTGGAAGGAGAGTATAAGCAAAGAGACTCATAATACATTTATGATAGTTCAAATATCAAATACAGTGATAATTGTTAGAATTAAAATGAAACAAAGTTTGTGAGAGATCTTTTGAGAAATTGCTTGAAAAAAAAATCTACACAATCTGACAACTGACTGGACGGAGAAAGTAAACATCAGGGTAAACATTAGGCAACAATGACTAGTTTTAAGCCTAAGTTTAGAGAAGCAGGTACCATATATTGACCTGGGATATCAAAGGAGAATGTTTTGGTAAATTTTCAGTACAGTACTTAGGGCACAGTAGTAACTCTAGAAATTAGTACTGGCAGGTATGCTCAAAGATGTCACAAAAAATCAAGGGTAGGCTAGAGAGAATCAGAGACCAGGAAACAAAAAGTTAGGGCCATATTTGGCAAATCCCAATTGTCTATATAGATATGTTCTCTACCTTGCAGACAAGGCATCATCCACAATGACATAAGCAGCATGTCTTCACATGACTTGAGAAAAATGAATAGCAGTTTGCTTATATATCACCAAAACTCAGGTGCCATAATGTTGTTCCAAGTGTATGTGGAATATGTCAATAAAATAACTTTTATTAGAGCACATTTTAAGAATGATGACTTATAATCCTAATAACTGTTAAAAAAATACCTTAATAATTGTGGTAGGCAGAATAACATTCCCCCAAAGCTGTCTAATCCTTGGAACCTATGAATATGTTACCTTCATGGCAAAAGGACTTTGCAGAGGTAATAAATTTAAGAACCTTGAGATGGGGAAATTATCCTGGATTGTCAGTAGGTCCCGATATAATCACAGTGTCCTTTTTTGGTCAAGGGGGTGATGGTTAGGAGAATCAGAGTTAGAAATAGATTTGAAGATGTTATGCTTCTTACTTTGAAGACCGAGAAGTGGCTATGAGCCAAGGAATGCATGTGACCTCTAAAAACTGGAAAGGGCAAAGAAACACATTCTCCCCTAGAGCCTCAAAAAGGAATGCAGGCCTGTCAACACATTGATATTAGCCCAGTGAGATTCTTGTTGAACTTCTGACCTATAAAATTGTAAGATAATAAATTTGTGCTTTTAAAGCCACTAAGTTAGTGATAACTTGTTATAGAAGCAACAGGAAACTCATACATTAATATTACATACATTTTCTGAGTGACACATGCTCATTATAAAAAATTTAGAAATTATTAAAAGATATGGAAGCAACCTAAGTGCCCACCAAAGAGTGAATGGATAAAGAAGTGGTGCATATACACAATGGAATATGACTCAGCCATAAAAAAGAATGAAATCTTGCTATCTGAACAACATGGGTGGACCTAGAGGATATTATGCTGGGTGAAATAAGTCAAACAAAGGGAGACAAATGCCATATGATTTCACTTATATGTGGAATCTAAAAAAACAATATAAATGAACAAGTAGAACAGAAACAGACTCATAGATACAGAGAACGTATTGATGGTTGTCAGATGGGAGGGGGTTGGGGGAAGGGTGAAAAGGTGAAGGGATTAAGAAGAACAAATTGGTAGTTATTGAAGCGTCACAGGGATGTAAAGTACAGCATAGGGAATATGGTCAATAACCTATATATCTAAAAGGCTAATATGCTAAGCGTCCCTCCGACCGTCTGACTGGTTGCTATGATGCACACTGACCACAGGGGGGGGCATAGGCTCAACACAGGAGCTGCCATGATGTGCACTGGTCATTTAAAAGAAACGGCACCTGGCATCGACAAAGTAACACTCAGCTTCCCCCAAGTGGGACACAGGCCCTGCCACCACCTGGAGCAACAGCCCTCCAAATCGCAGCCAATGCTGCCGAGGCCCCATGGTGCAAAATGCGGCCCACAGCCCAGTCTGGAAACGGTCGTTGTGGGTGCCAGGTAATGACATAATGTAGCAACGCCTGGCTTCCTCTCCCTAGCGACTAGCCTCCTTGGAGTTCCTTGCGCACTGGGCCTCTAGTTATATAATAAGAAACAAAAACAATTTTTCAAAAATATGTTAAAAATCTGAACAGACCTTTTTCAAAAGAAAATACATAAATGGCTAATAAGCAGGAGTAAAAATATTCCACAACATCAGTAATCAAGGAAACAAAAAATCTACAATAAAGCATCACTATACATGCATTTAAAATGGCAAAATTTTAAATTATCAATATTCTTTTTTTTTAAGTGAAATTCAATGGGAACTATCATACATTGATGGTGGGAGTGTAAAATGGTACACTACTTTGGAAAAACAGTTTGGCAACTTATATTAAAACTAGAGGCCCGGTGCACATAATTCATGCGGGGCGGGGAGGGTGTTCCTCAGCCCAGCCTGCACCCTCTCCAATCTGGGATCCCTTGAGAGATGTCCGACTGCCCATTTAGGACACTAGGATCGGGCCTAAACGGGCAGTCGGACATCCCTCTCACAATCCAGGACTGCTGGCTCCCAATTGCTTGCCTGCCTGCCTGATTGCCCCCTAACCCCTCCCCTGCCAGCCTGATCGATGCTTAACTGCTCCCCTGCAGGCCTGGTTGCCCCCAACTGCCCTCCTCTGCCAGCCCGGTCACCCCTAACTGCCCTCCCCTGCAGGCCTGGTCCCCCTCAACTGCCCTCCCCTGCTGGCCATCTTGTGTCCACATGGGGGAGACCATCTTGTGTGTTGGAGTGATGGTCAATTTGCATATTACCTCTTTATTAAATAGGATTCATTTACCATTTAACCCAGTGATTTAATTTCTAGGTATTTATCAATATAAATTGAAAACATATGTCCACAAAAAATCTTATATACATTTATACCAGCTTTATTCATAATGACCACAAACTGGAAACAAACTAAAGACCCATTAACAGGTAATGAATAAACAAATTATAAATACTACTCACCCCCCAAACTAGAAGATGAATGAATTACATGCAACAGCATGAAGTTTCAAAAACATTATGTTAACTAAAGAAAACCAGAAACATATATAAAATTTAGAATAGGCACAATGGATCTATAGTGGCATAAAGCAGGTCAGTAGGGCTTGAGGCTGAGAAAAGGGAAGGAAAACTGACAACAAATAGGCATGAGGGAACTTTTGGGGGTGATGGGACTATTCTATATCTTAATTTGGGCTTATATATTTATTTGCCAATACCTATTATTAAATTAAAAATATGTGCAACTTATTCTATCTAGTTTATATTTAAATAACACTGATTTTAAAAGAAAAAAGTTAAAACTATAAAAATCATCTATGTATTTACCACTCAATTTTGTTAAAATTACTTCTAATTTTTCCAAAGTTTCTATGCACTATTCGGTACCATTTTCTCTAACTGTATCACTTCTAATCAACTTATCATGTCATTAATAATTATTTGTAGACATTAAATAGCTTAATGAGCTCTACTTTACTATTTTAATAAAAAAATTATCTTAGAGATTAGATTTTCCAGTTTTCATTTTTATCAGTAATATCCCAATGATCATCTCTGCATTTAAAGGTTTGTCCACATTTGTATCATTTCTTTGGGAAACAGTTCTAGTAAAACAGTATTAGGTTAGGTTAAAGGATAAAAGAAAAAGATACTTATGTCACTCCTATTTTTCTGGAAATTGCCTTATAAGAATCTACTTAAAAGCGTAGCCACCTTTACAAACCTCGCCTGTGATTCTTATTTCAAGATACATTTTTTTTAAAAAATATATTTTATTGATTTTTTACAGAGAGGAAGGGAGAGAGATAGAGAGCTGGAAACATCGATGAGAGAGAAACACCGATCAGCTGCCTCCTGCACATCTCCTACTGGGGATGTGCCCGCAACCCAGGTACATGCCCTTGACCGGAATCGAACCCGGGACCTTTCAGTCCACAAGCCGACGCTCTATCCACTGAGCCAAACTGCTTTCAGCTCAAGATACATTTTGATTAATTAGCTTCTTAGGAATTGGGGAAAGACTTCAAGGAACAGTTAACAAAAGATAGCTGCAAAATGCCCATGGAAGGTCGTTTCTTTTGCTGCTCTTTGTATTGTGGAGTCCTATGAAAAAATTCATCTAAAACATCAGTTGTAGGAATTGGAGTGGAGCTGAATTGTTCCACTGACTCCTTATGGTCACTTCCTTTACTTCTTCAAGTCTCTCTTGGATGTCTCTGTATCAGAGAGGTCTTCCCTAGCCTCCCTTTGTAATTCAAAGACCCTCATGGTCCTCAAAACACACACACACACACACACACACACACACACACACACACACACACACGCGGATTACTCCTTCTCTCCCCACTTAGCCTGATATACATTTTTTTCATTATATTTATAATCTGGCATCTGCCACACACACCACCTTCACCCTCTGGGAGAAAGTAAACTCCATGAGAGCAGGAATTTTGTTTTGTTCACTGGCATATCCCTATTACCTCAGTGTAGCCCTCAACTATTCGTTGAATGCAAGCTACTAGTAGAATGATTGGGGATTGAGGAACTTTAAGTTGTTGACAGAAAATCCTGGAGGCAAGAAAAAATAAAGTGAGATTGGGTACTATGTTTCTGAAGAGAAAACCAAAACAAAAGAAAGCAAACAACTCTTGGGGGGAGAATCAAAATGTCTACTGGAATGCTGAAGTTATTAGTTAAGAGTTGTGTTTAAACTGTTTGCTCTAAGTTCATGATGAAAACTGAACACCTACCTCCCATTCCTCTACACAATCTTTATTTAAATCTACAATGCATGAATAGATATGGAAGGGGAGAAGGGGAAGAATATGAAATGGGCCAAGTTCTACAGCAAGTTTGACAAAAATAATTCAAACAGTAAAGCACTTAAAAATAAATTTAAGAAAAGACACTTCCCGAATCTTCAATTCTTAACCATAAAGTTGTAAACCACTCATGATTACGAGTATACTATTTTTAACTTACACACACTTAGGTATATTTATTATATTCTTCGGAGTCACAGAAAAGACACTAGAATAAATAACCAAAGGCACCGAAGGTAAATGATGACTTAACATCTTAAAATTCATGAACCATTCAGATAGTAAGTCCATAAACTCTTGAAAGGTACAATGGGCTAAAGTCATGAATATTAAAGAGTATTCAACATGATCATATTTTCTATTTAAACTTTTTTATTAAAAGCTATTTAGTTCCTCCTTTATCTTGACTAGGTAAGGCTGAGAACACCACAAAATGATTATCTCCATGGGAAGGCATTTTCTCATTGGCATAATACATTTTATAAATTCCTCGATTATGGTAGTAATAAAAGGTCTAGATGATAGCTTATTAATACAAGATTTCTGTATTAAGATGCCAATGACTGTCATATGCACCATTAATTTAATAACAACTATGAACACAAAATAAATAAACTTGCTAAGTGTTCACACTGAATATGAGATGCGTTCCAACTATGGAAAAGTCAATTAAGGGCAAAATTCATCTTATCATTGAGGAAATATTGTACTTTGAAAATAGAAGACTGAATTCAGCAAGTTCATTGCTTACTGGTTTTGAGACCTGTATCAAAACACTGGCTCTTTGTAACTCTCAGATGTCTGACTCTAAAAGGAAACCATTGTCTTCTTCCCTATAAGATGGCGGAAGGAAAGAACTGAGGAAGCAACAAACAGATCAGATAATCTTTGAAGGATCGTTCTAGCTCTAAGGCTGTGGTTCCATGTTTCTTTTTTTTTTCTTGATTTTATTTTATTTATCCATCACCATTTATCCCCCCTATCCCCTCCTCCACCTTCATCTCTCCCCCTCCCTCCCCTCCCACCCCAGCAGTCACCACACTGTTGTCCATGCCCATCAGTTCTTTCCATTTTTTCCTTTTATCTTGATAATACAATTATTGAAAGGGAGAAGATGCTAATTTTATTAATTCATGCAAACCCTTCTGTTAATTTTCATTCTCATCTAAATCTTTATCACAGTTCTTAGAGCATTACTACCTTTGTAACCCCTGATTTTCAGAGGGCCCTTGAAGTTGTTGATTTTAGGAGTTGGTAAGTCATTCTTTCTTCATAAAATCTTCGACGACAAGCTCCAATAGCTAAAGTAGACACAGCTTCCAATGAACAGGACGGCAGCTCCGCTTCTAATAAGTTAATCCAATGGTTTTTGTCATGAGCAAAACAAGAAATCATGTTTTTAATCATACTAAAAGGTCTCTGCATTTTGTTAACATCTGGAGTTCAATCACTTCTGTGCTAAAAACCGGGGAATGCTTCAGCAGGGCATAAATCTTGCCCCCTCATTGTACATGCGATCCAGATGCTAGAGGAGAATTAACGTTCGTTTGTAACACATCTGGTGGCGGCAGCTTTGAGTAAACTCTAATAGAAAGAGTGCGGAACTAACGTGGCATTACACCTTTCCTCGGGCCAGGGGTTCTAGACTGAAGGTAAAAGCCTGCAGGTGTCCCTTGGGGCTTAGCAATAAACTGCACTAATCAGCTCTGGCATTGTGTTAAGTGCAGGGTGTTTTGAATTTTCCACAGAAATTTCACAGTCCAGTAACTCTACATTCCAACTGTCTGCTTTTGACAACTCTTTAGATTTGCCACCATCCTGAAACACCAAACAAAGGAAAGGCCCAAAGTCACTGTCAGAGGTGGGCTATCCCAAAAGGTGGCAGATCATGGCCAGTGCAGTGGTGAGCAAATGACAAGACTGGCCTAATTGTAGAAATGAGAAGTGACTTAGAATCTGCCCTACAGGTAGTCTGGTGGAGTTGAAAGAGCTTTGAATTTGAACTGGGACATCTGAACTTAAGTCTCACTTCTGGTTTGTATGCAGAAGTCCAAAATTACCTGAGTTCCAGCTTCCAAATAACATGATGGCTTTTTGTAAAAAAAAAAAAAAAAAAAAAGTCAAATTTCTTAGAATAACATTTTAATTCACTTTTTAACATAGCCTTCCTTTCCAACCTCCTTTATCCTCAACGTACACTTGGATTTTAAACTACAACAAATATCTTGCTTTTTAAATACCTGTTGCAGGCTTAGCTGGTTTGGTTCAGTGGTTAGAATGTCGGCCCGCGAACTGAAGGGTCTCAGGTTCAATTCTGGTTAAGGGCATGTACCTTGGTTACAGGTTCAATCCCTGGAGGGAGGCAAATAATCGTCATAGATTGCTGTTTTTCTCTCTCTATGTCTCTCCCCTTCCCTTCCACTCTCTCTTTCTAAAAATAATAATAATAATAATGGAGAAATTATCCTTGGGTGAGGAGTAACAAAAATAAAATAAAATAAAAACCTGTTGCATATGTTTGTGCTTTGGAGCCTTTGTTCATGCTCTTGCTACTGGTATTCATGCTTTGCTTCAGTTCATTTACTGACCTATTATTCCCCACATGGTTTTAAGTCTCCTTCTCCATAAGGCACTGGTACATGTCTCCATTATTGCACTTTCCATGGTAATCAGGTATTGCTCATTGTTCTGTGTACCTATCTCCTTAGCTAGACTTTGATTCCACTTTATGAGAATCTGTGAGAGAAAAGGTGATGCCTATTGGAAGCATCCAATCAAGTCTGGGGGATACATTGCATGCTGTTACAGATGGCCTCCAATTTAACTACTCTTCTGTGAGTAAATTCTTTTTTTTTTTTTAATTTTTATTGTTGAAAGTATTACATATGTCCCCTTTGAGAAAATGATTTCTGATAGGGTACTCAAATGCTACTGGACAACTGCAGGGTTTACATTAGGATATAAAAGAACATCTAGGTAACTATAAATGTGTCTTATGAGGGCACTGTGCTAAGATGCTCCCCAATGAGAGCATCGAAACAAAGATCAGAATCACATCTCCCCATCCTGCCTGGCTCTTGTGCTCATTGAGGATAACATCTTCTACCTTATTCAAAGTATTCTTCTTTATTTTAAGTTGGTGCAGATTGTCTGATGGAATTTTATGAGTTAAATGTGCATATAATGTGACTGCACTAATTATGTATTTTGAATTTGGTATTTGTAACTATAAACTAGAATGCCAGAAGAAACAACTTGCCAGTTTGGACTTGAAACTTGCCACACTACCAAATGAATCATCTTATCTAATAAAAGCCTAATATGCTAAGTGTCAGGTCATCTGGTTGGCCGTTCAACCAATCAAAGCTTAATATGCTAATGATATGATAAGGCCACTCAACCACTTGCTATGGCGTACACTGACCACCAGGGGGCAAACAGTCCAACCAGTAGGTTAGCTTGCTGCTGGGGTCCAGCCGATCAGGGCTGAGCGAGATAGGCCGGATACGCCCTGGAGCCCTCCTGCAGTTTCTCCCCTGCTGGCCAACCTCCTACGTCTCTCCCCTGGCCCCAATCATGCATCGGTGGGGTCCCTCAGCCTGGCCTGCACCCTCTCACAATCCGGGACCCCTTGGGGGATGTCGGAGAGCTGGTTTTCACCCAATCCCCCAGGCCAGGCCGAGGGGCCATGCTGGTGCATGAACTCGTGCACTGGGCCTCTAGTATAGAATAAGGGAAATAAGATATGAACACTGATAAATGTTTATAATCTCATTAAAAGAAAAATGTGGCTTAAAAAAGATTGACAAGGGTATTGATGTCTTAAAGACATAGATCTCTAGCAGTGATAAGATCCTGATAACTTCACTTTGCTTTTGGATAGCATTGTTTTCCCTAGTATTTTCATATACCTCATTCACTCATTTATTTGTCTTCTCTGGCCACCTATGAAGTAATGCCCAACAGTAAGCCTAGGGAAGAAGGAAGATCAAAGAATGACTACACTAATCTAAAAATAGCCAGATAGAATACATCAGTTGTTAAATAAAATAAAAAAATTCTAAGTAAACTTATAAATGGTTATTGTGGAAAACAGTTTAGATTGAACAAGACACACTCAGTTCAGATTTGATGGATAAATAACCAATAGTAAACATCTTTTTATCTGTTTAAAAAAGATCTGAGGGGTTTTTTTTAAATGAATTATTCATTTCAACTCTTCCGAGACATGTATTTCAGGCATACCCTTATATAAAACATAGAATTGGGTTTTTCATTATGATTAAGCATGATTTTTTAAATTTTTTAAAACATTTCTATTGATTTTTAGAGAGAGAGGGAGGGAAAGGGATTGAGAGATAGAAACATCAATGAGAGAGAAACATCATCGATAGGCTGCCGACTGCATGCCCCCTACTAGGGATCAAGCCTGCAACCTGGGCATGTGCCCTGACCAGGAATTGAACAGGTAACCTCTTGATTCCTGGGTCAATGCTCAAACACTGAGCCACACTGGCCGGGCAAGCATGATTTTTTAAAAAGGTAAGTTGCCCACTTATAATTATGGGAGCCAGTCTTGTTTGGTCTTAATTCTGTCATTCATGTCAAGCTTTCTGTTACAAATTTATACTACATGACCTATTTTCTTCCCTTTGTTCTCTGTTTATGTGTTCTTGATTTTTAAAACTCATAATAAAATGGGAATGATACATGTTATAATGCAAAGGAGTATATATCTCAATCATCATCTGACTTAATGTTATACTTTTACCAAATCTTTAAAAAAAAAATGGATAGTTCCAATGATATTTAAACTGTTCCAGAAAAAATTTTCTACTAAGATCATAAATGAGACATAAATTTTTTATTATCACTACACTTTCATTTAACCCTGGCTAAAGTATTAGCCAACACAATTCAATAAGAAAAATAAACTAAGGTATAAAAAAGGAAAGAAGCCCTAGCTGGCGTGGCTCAGTGGATAGAACATTGGCCTGCAGACTGAAAGGTCCCGGGTTCGATTCTAGTCAAGGGTACATGCTTGGGTTGCGGGTTCAATCCACAGTAGGGGATGTGCAGGAGGCAGCTGATCTATGATTCTTTCTCATCATTGATGTTTCTATTTCTCTCTTCCTCTCCCTTCCTCTCTGAAATCAATAAAAATATATTTTAAAATAAATAAAAAAAGGAAAGAAGCTAAAATTATCATCATTTGCAGATAACATGGTTGTATATCTGGAAAAGAACATGAGAATAAAATGTTTTAAAAGCACTCTAGCAATAAGAGAACTCTGCAAGGTACTCGGGTAAAAAAATTAATGTACAATGACAGCCTTTATACATACAAACAATACTCAACTGGATGATCTACAGGAGAGAAGAACCCATTTACAAAGGCAATAACAACAACAAAACCTGGGGATACACTTAACTAGAAATAAATTAGATCAATATGAAGAAAATTTTAAAATTCTCTTGAGAATAACAAAATACACATTCATGTACATACAAATTACACACATACACACACACTTGAACATAAAGATAAGCATATAATATACATGGGAATGAATATACAAAAATATGTAAGAACTCAATTTTACCTCGGTTAATTTATAAATTTGATGTTTTTGTTTTAGACCAGGGGTCCTCAAACTTTTTAAACAGGGGACCAGTTCACTGTCCCTCAGACCGCTGGAGGGCCGGACTATAGTTTAAAAAAAAAACTATGAACAAATGCCTATGCACACTGCACATATCTTATTTTGAAGTAAAAAAACAAAATAGGAACAAATACAATATTTGTATTTGCATGTGGCCCGCGGGCCGTAGTTTGAGGACCCCTGTTTTAGATGATAGGCTAATTGACTCTGAAGATCATCCAGAAAAATAAGCAAATAAAAATAGCCAGAGAATTTCTAAAAAACTAAAGCAAGACAAGGAAACTATTTCTACCAGGTTTTGATATCTACTATAAATCTAATCAAAATGAATATTTTGCTACTTACACATGAATTAGATAAGTCCATAAACGAGAAAAGAAAACACAGAAATAGATCCAAATATATACAGTAATATAGTAAAGACACAGGGAACATTTCAAAATAGCATTGAAAATATGGATTTTATAATAATTTGTGATGAGAAAGTTAGGTAAACACCTGAAAAAGATTTGGATTCCTATCATGCACCAGAATAAGTTGAAAAGTGATAAAAGATCTAAGTGTAAAAAATGAAATCACAAAAGTAGAAGAAACTATGAAAAAATCTACATTCTTTCAAGTGAGAAAAGGTACTCTAAGAATAAATAAAATCCAGAAGCCCTATAAAATTTATAAGTTGACTATATGTAACTTTTAAAATTTTTTTGTATGGCAAGAATTATAATAATAATCAAAATCAAACAAAAAATTGAGAGAAAATATTTACATAAGAAACAAAAAGCTAATGTCTTTAATATGTAAAGAATTTCTACTCGTCAATGAGAAAAGAATCAACAATCCAGTAGCTTAATGAGTGGAGATTGTGAAGACACAAAGCACAGAAAAGCAGATACAGACAGGTCCCCAATACATAGAAAGATATTGAAGAAATGATGCTTTAAATTTAATCTTCCACATTTAAAACACTATTTTTAAATCTAGAAGAATGGAAAAATTCAGAAAGTACGGTAACTCTGCATTGGCCAGAGTTCAGGGAAGGAAACACCTCCACACACAGATCACGTACACTCAAATCAATAAAACCTGTTGGCAGGGCATTTTGATCATACTTATCAAAACTACAAATACACATGCCTTTAATCAGCAATTCCACATTTAGGACTATAGCCTACAGATTTACTCACACATGTGGTAAAATGATATATAAGCAAGATTATTCACTGCAACCTTGTTTATAAAAGCAAAATATATTAATCATCTAAATATCCATCCACAGAGTACTGCTTATAGAAATTGTAGTGCATAGATATAATGTTATATTATAAATAGTAAATAAAGAAATGTTTTATGTATAGATATATGATGATCTCCAAAATATGTTGTTGTTTTTTTAATCCTCACGAGTGGATAGGATATCTTTTTTATTGATTTGAGAAAGAGAGGAAGGGATAGAGAAACATTGAAGAGAAAAAGAAACATGGATCGATTGCCTCCAGTACACACCCACCTGGATCAAACCCACAACCTAGATATGTGCCCGGACTGGAATGGAATCTGCCACTTTTTTTGTTGCACAGAATGACATTCCAATGAACTGAGCCACCAGGCCAGGGCTCCAAGATATTTTTAAAAGAAAAAAAAGGATAGAGAATATTATGTATAATATACAAATATTTGAGTAAAAATTGGAAGAGAAACATAAAATACTAGTATATATCTTAACCTTGATCTCTACAGCCTACATTCAATAGCATTAGATTACTACTTATTATTCTCCAGAGCCATCATACTTCTGATTACTATATTCTTCCCTGTGTAGAATGTCCTTCTGCTATCATCATAATTAGCTAGTTAATGTTAATAGGAAGAGAGCAAAGGGGAGGCCAGACATTATAAGCATGGTCATCTGGGCAGCTTCACCAGGAAGCTACAGCTTCACACTCCCTAGGAAACCACCAGTCCATTCCCTGTAGATCAGGGAGAAGGGATTGAACAAAGGGGAGATGGGCACATGTGCAGTAAAGCTGGGGTATGTAGGGAAGGTGCTGGTCAGTCTAGCCTGAGAAAAAGATCATTGGCTAGGAGGGTGGGCCCTATCAAAGCACAGGAAATCTTGGAAGGGTAAGACCCAAGATAAAGAGTTCCCCCTTCCTTTTGCTCTCTCGTGCTTGCTCTTGTGTGCTAGTCTCCACAGCCATGTGACCTTAAGCAGCCCCATAGCCCATGGCCATGCAGAACCCACATGCAATGGACTGCACTTGGGAATACAAACTAAGCTAGCCAGATGCTGGACTGGACTGAACTTTAATGTGGAGCAGAAATTCTGGGCAGTGGCCTTAATTCTAGTCCTGCTAAAGACAAGAAAGGACTACTTCCACGGCTGGACAGCCAGAGATGGAACCTTGAAGGGAAACCCCTTAATTTTACACCATCAATAAATCTTCCTACGGTACTCCATCCTCCCTTGGGGGCCTCAGGAAATTCTTTTCCCTGTAGCACCCCAGGAACTCCACTTCCACCAACAGCACTCGTCCTTATTTTTGCTTGTCAAAAATCCAATCTGTCTTTACATAGATCCTCCTATATATTAATTTTTCTTTTTTCAGCACTACCATCTGATTTCTAGTTGTTGTTTATTTCTAATAAAAGGTAGTCAAAACTATTAAGTCTACATAATACTGGAAGAAAGGGGGCAGGGAAAAGGAACAGCTATTAAAAACAGGTCTGTCAGACACTTTAATGACCTATGTCATTTAGCTGTACAACAACCATATAATTCAAATATTATTCCAGTCACAAATATTGAAACTACCTTGACAAGATTAGAGAATGTTTGCAATGCCTCAAATCTAACAACTGGATGTGCAGAGGTTCAGACTCAGGTTTCCAAGATCCCAAAGTTTTCCTTGTTCCTCTATATAGCTTTGTACTTAAAGGATCTCTGCCACTTTTCTTAGAGCCCAAATATTTGAGGTCATCTAATTCAACACTCTTAATTTACAAATGAGAAAAAGAAAGCTGGGGAGGTTAAATGCTCTGCAAACTAGTTTGTTAGTGTCATTGGGATTAGATGGAAGGTCTATAAAAGGACTAAGGATGTAAGGTCAACCTGGTACTTTACACTTGTATAGTAGAATTTAGTTTTAACAGGATAATTGACAGTCTTTAAAATTAAAATGTTGTCACATACAACATACTGAAGAGGTTCAGGAATAAAAAGCATAAACATCTGAGAATGAATGTCCATCTGTGAAAATTAATGTCCATCCATGACCTTTATAAGAATGTTTTAGTGTAATTAATTCTTTGCCAAGCATCTTTCTGTGCTAAACAC